ATCACATTAAAAGAGAAACACAGTTTCTTTCAAGGATTTTGATGGGGTTAAATGGCTCTATTTTCACCTGTTTAATAAATTTTCATCAGATTCTGAAGTTTTAAGTACTGAGGCATTGATACATCTGAAATACAGCAAAATTAAGACACATTGGATTTATTTCCTGGATACTTTAAGCAAGCCTAAGAGAAGTAGGTCCAATAGCATTATTCACTTCAGCATCAAGAGCAGTCTTTCAGGCTCAGAAGTCACATGGATATTTACTTCACTAAAAAACCCTAATCAAACAACAACCAAACCCAAAAACATTACAGCCTTCAGATGCTATCAATGTATAATCAATGGTACTGTGTTTTTACATTCTTTAAGAAAGAATATCAGAAAGGTATTCTGAATGCAACCCTTAAATAACAACACCTTATCTCCCCAGAAGAATCAGAATGTGACCAATTCCATAGGAGCAGTTAAAAAAATTATCAGCCTTCACTACTGGATGAAGTGCAAGCTATACGAGTACAGCTTTAAAATATTTGAAATATTACTACTTCATCCTAAAAAACTCTAAGAAGCACCAATGTTAATGAAGTTGATCAGTAATTCCAACCAATCACTTAATTTTGTAGCTGTTGTTTCACATTCCCAACACCCCCTCATGATCTTCCACATTCCCAAAACGATGGAATCCATTGTAAGGTTTTTTTCTTTGACTCTGAATGGAACAAAAATTGAGAATTCAACTCATATCGGAAGCAGAAGCCAAGGGCTCTAGAAATCTAAGTATAGAGTGTAAATTCCACAGATCATCTACATTCTTACTCTCCAAGTCAAAATTAGGACGCTTAAAAAAAAAAAAAAAAAAAAAGGCAAAAATAAGCTTCTCTAAACCATGGCACAGGGCAGCTCTCCTCATGTTCAACAAGGGGGACAGAGGGCCCATGTAAGACCAGATAATACTAGAACTGTAATAGAAAAGCTGGCTAAAAAGCAAGAGCTTGACAGGAGTATTAGCCCTTGATCTGCTCTGGAAGCAACTGCTGTGTTTTACCTGAGATTCTGAGGCACCTGCATGGTACCAGCATCCCAGCAGAAAGCCTCTGAGCTGCTGTTTCAGAAAGCTGGTTTTTAAACCTCACTTCAGCCAAAAATCTGTCAGGGTGCTTTCCATCAACATTCAACATTGCTCTGCTTTTGTGATGCAATTTAATATAAAGCAGCAGTAAAATTTACCTCCTCTGCAGGAACTAAGGCCTTCAATTAAAGCTGAGATTCAAGTGTTAACTATACAGGATCAAAACCAACAATATATAATAGCTGTAATGTAACTACTGCTACTAACGTCAACAAAAATTTGTCCAAATTCAATGCTTCCCTTCCTTTAGCTTTTGTTTTTTAATTTATTTCCAGTTTTGAAAATACAGCAGCTACAACAGTCCAGGTCACTATTATCCCAAACCTGACTCAACCAAAGTCTTTTTATTAGTTGTACATTATAAAGCACATTACAAATGCAACTGTATTTTGGTCTCATTTAAAAGAAGCAAAAATAAGGCATGAAGCATATCTGTACTCTTTTTAAGACAGAAAATGACTCAGCTCATCACATAAAAATACTGGGGTGCTTCCATACTTTGGATTCCAATTCTCTGTGCTGTTACCACTGAAGCAACTTTTTAAATAACAAAGATAAGACTGTTAATATGCCGGCTCATTATTCACTACATGGTATGGTTTGGTTTGTTAAATGCTTGACTTTCAGACGTCACTAGTTAGAAATCACTTCTGGACTGGCTTTTGAGGAACCAGGTCTTGTGGATGATGCCCCTGCACATGGCCATGGGAGGAGAGCTGCAGCTAGATGATCTTTAAACTTCCTTTTGACCCAAAATATTCTAGGATTCTGAAATTCAAAAGAATAATCAAGGCTAGGAAGGAAGAAGCTGTTCCATTAGAAGAAGGATGCTCACACTGTCTCTCCACTGACTGCATCATCCGCCCATGTCAAAACTGAATGAGAGTGGATGAAGACAAGCTCTTAAATGCCACCAAATTCACTATGTATTTTAGAAAAGTGAACTCACGTGCCAACATGTAGTTTCAGAATACACAGGGATTATGTGATTAGAATCCCACTGGCTTGCTGGGAGGATTCAGCAAGATAGCTACAAATTACTTAGAGGGCTAGTGTCAAAAGGACTTCTTGTACTTATTTAGCCTCTGCTCTAGATTACTGACCCACTTATGAAGAGCTAAGCAGTCCTGCTGTGCAATGCCAACACCCACTCCATCTGTTTGCTTCTGCTTTCTCAGAACCTCCATTAGTCTCATAAGAAGTTGTGTTAATTACCACATGAGCAGCTTTTGTGTAGTACACATAGGATCAGCCTCCCTTAGTGTGCAGTCACCTTGACAAACAGCACAGGAGCAGAATACACCTGATTCAGCATGATCATCAATGACACAGAGTAAGAAATGCAGATTTCTGAGTAGGTGACTTAATACGACTTCTGTTCAGGCTGCCTCTCAGTTTGGTGAAATGTCTGTGGGAGTCTAGATGCTTTAGGTTTCAATGATGAAAAAGTATACTAGAGTTAAACACTGTATCAAACCCTCTGGAAATCTCCCAGGGGACCAGAAACTTGAAGAACTTCAACTGAAACTTTTTTGAAGGAATAATGCAACAGTGACAAACAGAAGCATCCCACGACAGTTGTCAATATCTACAACAAATTAAAAAGCAGTAGTACGTAAAACTAAAGCTAGCTAAAAAAATCAACACACACAAAAACCCTCCCCAAGCAGAACAACATTTGGAAAGCTAGCCCAGCTGTCACATCAGAACTGCATCTCAGCAGCTTGGCACCACAAACTTCCTGCTGACTAGTAAGGAAAAAAGTTTCAAATTCAGCATTTTATTATTTATCCCTGCTGATCTGCAGATCTTTAAGACACTCATTAAAGTGGGTCGCAAACAGTGGTTTCATTAACTTACTAAATCTAAGAACAGAATCTCCAAGAAGTCATTACAGTACTGAGTTGACATTTATTTCTTGGGTTATTTCTTGGGAACCCAGAATACTGCTGTCAAAGTGAAGTAATATTAACAATACAAAACCCAGCTGTGAAATACAAGAATTCTGTATGGCACTGCTGGCAACCTTGATATCACCCTGCCCCTTAATGCCAAAACCATTTTTTAGTTTAAAATTAAACTCTGTATAATAGCCAACACAACCTGAAGAACTCTTTCTGGGTTACTCTTAAAGAACTCCAGAGAAGTAAAAACCAGGTCCAGTTCTTTTTACAGCTGAGCAGAAGACAGAGAAAAGCAAGAACTGCTGATCACAGAACATTTGTATTCCATTTTAAAGAATTATTTATTATGTCTATTTTAGCATAAAAGGTCATGCAAGCATACTGTAGTCTACTATGAGTAGTAGAGAAGCTCAAAAATAATGATGTATTAGAATACTCCAAGTACCTTCTAACGAAATTCATTGTAGACACCTATTTTTCTGAAGTAGCAGTTATCTACTGCTCCAGTATCCCTGCAGGAGAGCTCTGTAAAATCCAAGAGCTCTAGAAGATAGATACACATTTTATTTCAAGTGTGTTTAACTTCTGTCATATGAAACAACTTCCAATTTAGCACTTCATATTTGTCTCAGTAAAGACTTGATAAATACACAGAGTAATCACAAAAAATACATAACCTTACAGATTCCAATCTTAGTCTGCTGATACTACACTAAAACAAGAAAGTGCTAATGTTTTTTAATCAATTGTTTCAATCTGGAAAAAGGCAGAAGGGAGAGACAGAAATTTTTGGGTATATTCTAGGGAAGAAAATAAGAGCAGAGGGCAGCATTAGAAACAAAAGGTGAACAGAAAAGAGGAAGAAAAAAAAAGAATTAAAATAGTCACTCATTCAGGGCATACTTATGACTTTCCCAGACAGCTGTGTCAAATCGAAAACAATGCTGAAATCATTACCAGATAACAGCTACAACACATTTGATATATGGAATCATTAGTGGCACCAGTCTAATCTAGTTTGCACTATGATTAATACAAAGTTTAAAAGTAGCTAGGATGAATGTGCTAATACCGAAATGAAGTTCATAAAACAGATGTAGTTTCTCTCCTCTATAAATGTTTTTGGTGTCAAGTGACTTAAATGCCCAGAAAAGTGAGATCCTCGAACTTTTCCATGGAAAACCACACCTGTGAAGTGATTTGATACTTCTGTCACACACAATGAGCTTGCCCGGGCACCCCAGTGGGATCTCAGTGCAACATGAATCAAGAGCAGACTGCATAATACTTACAAACCCTTGCTCTCGCACAGCAGTTGCTATGAATTAAGCTGGGAAAGTCAAAGGGGTAGAATGCAGGTTGTTCATCTAAATGTTTATATATATCAGGAGCAGAAGAGTAATTCTGGAAGTACCCCATGTTATTAAACAAAAAGTGCTTCCATTAAACTAACAATAATTACAGTAAATTAACTGGTCTTCAGACAACCTGAATTTCATCCAAAGACAAAATTTCCCTTCAAAAGGGATAATGGAGGCAGCTTGCACAACTTCAACTAGCAGAAATAAGCGAAAATAATTAGATTACTGAAGTGTTGACCAAGGAAAAACTAGTCTTTTGATATTTTTTGAAGGGAAAGTGTTGGCTCAAGCATGCCCCCCCCCCCCCAAGTATAGACAGGGTTATTAAATATAAAGCGTAAGGCAGTGCTACAAACTAAGAACAGTGTTAAACTGAAATCATCAGAATACATACACACAGGACCCTACATATCAATGAAAATTGAAATGTAACTAAATTGTGACATCACAAAGCATGTGCTTCAGTTATAAGGAAGCACTGTAATAATCCAATACGGAATCAAAAACATGCAACTGGTTTTTTAGTCATTTGTTCACAGAAGGTCTGAGCATCCATTCAGTCATTTCCTAAGTGGCTGTAAAAATTTCAAATACAACAGCACTTACCTTGGTATTGTCACACATTTTGTATTGCAATTCTGAGTGGTAATTGCCTTCTCAAGTTCATCCAGCTGTCCTGTTTTCTTTAGCTTCTTGACTAAGCTTTTCACTGCTTTCTCACACCACTTTTCCTCCTGACCATTCTGCTCACTACCACCAGCCCCTGCAGTGCCACCAGCAGATTTTTTCCACCCCAGAAGTCTCTTCACAACTGGTGGAGTGAATGGCAATATGGATGACATGACTTTCACCAGACAGGAAACTCAGCAAGCAATGAATTGGAGATTCCCGTCTGATCCCTAAAAACACAAACCAAAACAAGAGACATGTTACCACTGAGGTTTCACATGAAACAAACACCTGTCTACCTTAGGACCTTTTACTGCCAAAAGCCACAGGACACTGCATCCCAAAAAAAAAAAAAAAAAAAAAAAAAAAAAAAAAAAAAAAAAAAAAAAAAAAAAGATACATAAAGTCTGTACCATGGTTAAATACTTCATCAATAAAGATCAAGAGATCAAGTTTGCTGGAGGCTCTTCAACAGCTAACACAGACCAAGATTACCGTTAGAACAGAAAATTAATTTCTTCTCAAGTCTTTTCTGACTAAAGCAAACTTCAGCAAATACAGAAGGTAACTTGAGTCTAGCTTTGCAGCAGGGCTAGCCGGTTTTAGTACTTTATTAGTATTTTCCACAAGTGACTGGCAAATTGCACACACATATCTACATGTTCTGCCCATCTCCAAATTAATTTAGCAGGTGAAATTGTGTTTGGAAGGTGATTTAGTCATTATAGCTTGACAGAAACCTTCCAACAGCCAGCCATTTCACCAATCTTTCCTCATTTTTTGGTCGTGTTTTAAATAACTACCAATTTTTTCCCTTGGGGACACCAAATTCAGTTTCCCCCGAAGTCTAGTAATAAGCCCATTCCCCCCTAAAATTCAACAGCCTACAGATAATGAATCTTCTCAACTGGCAGCCCTTAAAATCAAGTCTTTCAAAATTCACTAAAGGAACAATTAAAATCTTAGTTTGCAGGCATCAGGGTAGTAGAACTGTCTGTTTTCAATTTTGATAGCCTTTCATTCAGTATAGCTCCCTTAATATCCTGATCAGGATATTAATATAAAATGAAATATTAAAAGGGATGCTGAAACAGGAGCTATGTTTAGCATTCACTGCAATATGCACTTCAAATCATTTAAAAGAGAAATGATAGCCACTTAGAAAAAAGCATCTTGCTTTTGCAGTTTCCATTAGACTGGTTTTAGGCATTAAAATAAAATACCTGAAATCAACAGGCAGACAGCTGTTAGAAATTGCTCAAGGACATTAATGGTCCTATGGATGAAAGCATAGCTTTGAAGTCAAAATGGTCCTATTTCTAGGCAACAAATGGGTATTTGAACTCCAGAAAGTTGCCATATTCCCAAGCTGTGTAAGTTAGTTCAGTTAGCTGAAAATACCTTGTTTTAGCTAAAAGCTAGCGCTACCTTCAGGCTACTTGATTTGAGCTTTGAAGGCAGCTTACGTGCCTCTCCAGCCTGTACTGGCACACTCCCCACATCTATCCAAAATATACCAACTTCATCTTACTGAAATCACCCACCTGCACAACAGCATGATTTGAGGTACTTCAGGCTACAGCATTCAGAGCTAATTTATGCCTTCTCACATTTTTGTAGTTTCAGTGAGGGCAAAGTCAACAAACATTAGATTATATTCTACAGGTAATTTAAGTCATAACTTTGCAACTTCACAAAACAGAACATTCAGTAGGCATGACATTTCAGTTTCATATAAAATACATCTCCATAAACTGGCTTCTCAGAGCACCCAAAAATATGAGTGAAGCAAGCAATGTAGTTTTCTGGGGTCACAGAGACAGAAGTTCTAATTAACAGGGACCAAGATCAACACTGATAATTTTATGCAAGTCATTGAAAATAATCCATCCTAAATCACAGAATCACTGACTGCTTTGGGAAGGGACTGTTAAAAATCATCTCGCTGCATTCTCTGCCATGGGCAGGGACACCTTCCATTATCCCAGGCTACTCGGAGCTGCATCTAACCTGGCCTGCAGCACTTCCAGGGATGGGGCAGCTGCAGCTGCTCTGGGAAACCTGTGCCATGACCTAACCACCTTCAGCGACAAGAATTTCCTCCTTATACCCAATCCAGATTAGCCCTCTCTCTGATTTAAACTGTTGCACATTTCTGTCAGTACAGGCCTTGGTAAGAAGCTAAAGCATTTATTTTCAAAGACTATAAAGGAATCTCCTTCTTCCAATAACATTAAATTATTATCAAATTGTCCCAAATAACTCCAACTGCAGGTTTTGCTGAGCATTGCATTTGAGGCCTGGCTGCAGCAAACAGGAAGAATAAACTGGATTGACAACATTTTTTAATGAAACACTGATTCGGAATCTGCAGTATCATAAAGAGTCAAGCCAACATAAGAGCTTCTTGACACAGGAAGGCCAGTTCCCCTTCCTTTCTTTCCTGTGGCACCACCACCTCAGCACCAGCGCTAATGCTCTTACACAAAGATTCAGCCAGGTAAGAGTAAAAACCCACCAATTTTATGGGTTTTTTGTCAAGTTAGTTCTCTTTCAAGCTAACAAGCTTCTCACACATGGCAGTGAGGTACTAGAAGTGATGTCAGATGAATTACTGGAGTGGGAAAAAGAACTCTAGCCCCAGAGTTAAACTGCAGTACTAGCGTTGACTGCATAGCTGGAAATGTGCTTTAATTTAAATCATTTATTTTTGGTGACAAAGCCAAATTAAGCAGCCTGACATGTTCTGAACCATTTGAGGGCCCAGCAGTGAGACACATTAGACCCCTAATGAGTACACCAGCAGCTCCAGAGATTAAACACGCAGGCTTGCATGGCCTCCACTGGTTGAAGAAATACACTCAGTTTCTAAACCAGGAAGCAGCAGACACTGGGAGCTTTATAAAAATACACCAGCCTTTGAGCAAGGCCAGCATTGGGTATTTCAGAGGCACACACAAGACATTCAGAAAGACTGAACTAAAGGAGACAACCTCTTTGGCTTTTAAGACCCTGTTTTAAAAAGCAGCAACTGATGGTACAATATCTGAACATTAAATTCAGTGCTGACAGATGTAGGCAATCAACTACCACTATCATTAGTGACCCACACACCAATTCTTATCCTTATCTGAGTATTTTCTGCTCTTTAGCTTTAAATTTGACACTTTTCAGTGCCACAGAATACTCCTTTTAATGTCAGCCTTATAAAACACAGACTTCAGAAAGGTCTCATTTACCACCAAGGCAGTAAACAGCCTTTTGGAGCCTATTCTTCTAGGCCTTTCAAACATTCTCAATGCTTTTATCCAACTTTTCAGCTTTTTAATACTCCCTATGATGAGATGTTCAGTTTTGCAGTATTCTCTCCCCTAAGAATGAAATATAATTTTATGTATTCTCCAGTGGTTTGTTTTTTTTTTTAACAAAGATTTGCCTTTCTGCTTCAAACGCACATTGAGTAACTTAAGACTTAGAGCACAAAGGAATTTAGAAATCCTACACATTTCAATTTTTCTCTATATTTGAACTCACATATGATATGATTTTGCCATACTCAGAGGAAAATAAATTTTAAAAAAATCTCTTTTCACATTTGTAAAAGACTGTAGGCTCAAACCTAACTAATCAGAAATTTCCTGATACTACACTTAATTTTATACAGTTGCCTTGCTGTGTGTGTTCATCCAGCTTCTGCAGATGTCAAAAAGCACAAATTGATCCGTTACCTCCATGAAAACTAGCTGTAAAAAACCCCAAAACACTAAGAGACACATTTAAAGAGCCCTTTCTAGCAATGACTTTTACAGCTTAGCAGCTATTTAACAAAAACACAACATACATCACAGCTGCAGGCTAGGAGTCTGGGAGGTTTAAACTAACTCCTTCTTCTAGCTATGGTTTTGCGTGTCAGGGATTTGCCAGGACTTATCAATAAGAATTTCAGTAAGTTATTCCAGTAGTGGCGCTGTATCTTTCAAAGGGTGAGCAGAGAGAATGTGACACAAGTAGGACAGGACTTCATTCAGCTTAATACTTCAGCCAATAGTGATGAGTACTCACATGAGAGTATTTCAGCCAGCTTAATTTATGAAAAAGGCACTCTGCTCCAAGCCTAGAGAAGACAGTGCAACCTGCAAGGCATGAATGGGCTGAATTATGAGCAATTTGGATAAATGTTCATTTTGCAATGAAAAAGCAGCAATGGTGCATCAGCCTAGTGCTCCAAAGTCTCCTAAGGAGGCAAAAGGACATGCTACTCAAGGAAAATAGGAACCTGGCTGTTTTCTTGCAGTCCACTCTCCTCATAATCCTTCAGCAATTTAAACTGTTACAGCACAAAATTAAAGGCTACATTTCTACTTACTCCCATCAGAAGCAGTTCATGGACTTGCTGTCCACAAATCCATCTAACCATCTTTTGAACATGCCTTCACAACCTCTTGTGGCAGACTGCAACCTCTGTGGTAGTATTTAGCTGTTCACTGTTAAAATAACTACTTTTACTAATTTAATTTATTCCTTTCCTAGTTTCAGAAAGTCACTCTTGTTCTACAACTGCAAACTTTGCTGAAGAACTATTTGTATTCACCTGGTCTGCAAGCTTCACAACTGTACACTTGAATCACATTTCTCCCTCAAATTAGAGGACTTTCAGCCTCTCATCACAAAGAAATCTGAACTCACACAGTTTGGGATGTTCCCCTGGACAGATGCCAAGTCTGAAAGCTTTAGTTTTTTGATTAAATTACAAGTATTTAAGACACTGAATAAGGACTATTCTAAGGACCACAGAAAAAAAACTGCATCAGCCTAAGGTTATCTTTGCAGTTATCCCTTTGGTCACATTATCCTAAAGCTCCCAACATTATAATTTAAATAAGAAGTACGAAGACATGAATTTACACCTCATGAGGAACTTAAAAATAAGGAACCCTAGACCTGTGTTCAGTTCTATCTGTACCCACCCAGGTGATATCAGAAACACCTTGTTTATACCAATGGGTTTAAGAGTCACTGTTAAATCTCATTTTTGACAGCAAATCCCATTTCAATTATAACTTTTACCTTCAAATGGATACAGTAATAGAATAAGCTTTGATCTCCTAAAGAACAATAATTGCATACACTGCCACGGCTGACACTTGCCTCTTGCTAAAAATGTTTCTCTAGAATTCTGCCTGGTACACATTCTTCATCCACTAAAATAAAAAGGAAAACATGTTCTTCCCCAAAATGCACACAGAACATAGTCTTTACCAATGTCTCAAGAAACATTTCCACATTGCTAAAATGGCCTCAGATTAAATATATGCTGAATATGTAACAACCCCTCTAACTCAAAGTGGTTTTTTGTGATTCCCTTGTAGTTTACAGCCAACACCCTCAAAAAACCTGAGCACCCAAGCCTTTGCTTTTAAAAGGAGCTCAGATGTGCTTCACCATCACTTACTCTTTGCACCATGACCCCTCTGCTCTCTTCTGCTGAGGCCCAATGGCCCAAATCTGATTTTTTTTTCCTTCCTGTGTACTACTTGCAATATCCACTACAACACACCAAGATTCAGGGTGTGCTGTACTCTGTGAGTAACTGGAAGCAGATTTTCAAGATCCCTTTCCAAACTCAACTGTAGTTGAACTAGTAGTACCAGGTCAGCAGTGTGTTCTGCAGCAGAAAACTTCCATTTCATCCCTTTCCATCCCCAGTCCATCTCTAGACTGTGCCTTCAAACTGCAGCTATGGATACTCAGGGAGTACTCACTGTTACCCAGAAAGGTACAAAAGTTCCTTTAGATTGCTGGAACACAGAGAGCATGTGATGTTACTCCCAAAAGTTTAAGACTGGAAAAGCTACAAATTGCCTAACTTTGGTGGTATTTGTTTCATCTCTGCCCCCGCAGCATATCTCTGCTCCCTGATGCACACATGTTTCTATAGTTGGTCAAACAGTGTCATAGTTGGCAACTTCTAAAGTCAAAGTTTGAGTCATGTCTGCTATTATTCCATTCTACTGTAGCTCTCTGGAACAAGTATTAAATATTAAGCCCATGATCCCTGCAATAACTAAGCATAAAAGATGAAGAAAACCTTAAGGGCAGCATGCTAGCAGACTAAAATCTTCAAGGGAAATTTTCCTTTCCTGAATGTCTGGAACATACTATAAACACACTAGTGCTACCAAAAATATCAAGTGATTTCTGGCTAATTTATTCTAAAGCCTTATGCAACATATTTCATATCAGTCTGCTTATTCATCTTAAACTTGAAATAAAGAAATCTGATCTCTCCTGGTTTTACTAGAAGTATTCTGGCTTAAAAGAATTTCATTTGCAAGAGCTCTTCTGGAATAAAGAGGACAAAAGTTAAGCTCCTAAGGAAAGAAGATCGAGGAAAATAATTTGTGGTATTTGAGAGAAAGTCTACAAGTTCATTTCCTCCCTGTTTAGTCCCATTTTTGAGATTTTTTTACAGGCAATGTTTTTTTCATTAATTCTGGAATCTGGACAAGATTCTTTATCAATTTCACCAAGTGCACAATGTACACCTGAATTCAGTATGAACTTTAAACTAAAATCAAAGTCAGTCTTTTCCATTTCAGATAGAATATACTCTAGCTTAAATGACTCAGTGGAAAGGACAAGGGAAGTCTATCACACCCACCATTCCTCCAAAAACTGCCTTTCAAGACTTTCATTTCATACAAACAGACACCTGGTTTTGTGATACTTTTCTGAAGAACTGCCAGCAAAAAAAAAACCAAACAGATACGGTGCTCATTCTTACCTCCTCAGGTCAGAGCAGGGCTGCATTCCCTCACTGAGGTTTGGGTGTTAGGGTTTGTTTTCTTTGACACAAGCTGATGAAGTTCAAGTCATGATACTTTTGACCTTGGAGGGCAGGAGGAGCAAAGGGATTTTCTCCTCTCAGCCAGCTTTAGAGTGAGAAATTGAACCATGTCTATACAGAGATGCAATTTACACATTCATTTTTATGTTTGCTACGCTCTAGTATTGCAATGCATCTCAAAACACTACAGCACCGTACTCATTGAAAACACAGTTACTCACCTATTATGACTGTGTATCTTGCTCACTCCATGAAGTTTATGAATTAAATGAGAGAACTCAAATTTCTCATATATAGAACTAAACAAGCATAAACATGACCTTAAAAAAGCTTGGGAAGCTGGATTTTTCTTCAGTTGCTAAGGGCTACCTCAAATTGTAGCCAGTGCTGTAATGAAAAGGTGTATTGCTATTAAAAAATTAGCACTGCATCTAAAACATGCACTCATGTCATACAAAAATTGCCTGCAACAGGAGACAGGAGAAGGAACTTAACTGACCTTTAGTTAAACTATTGGAGGGACCAATGTATTTCAGCAACTCTCCTAAAATTGCAGAAGAGGAAAGCTATCACAACTTTTATTGGTAGTTGGCCAATCCACCTGTCTCTAAAAAGATGCAAAATTCTTCTACTTAGTATTATGAACAACATCAGAGTACTGCTTCTTAAAACTCAAAGGACATTAACAGCCCCAGAAAAGCAGTGACTGAGCACTCCAAACCACAGCAGTTTAAGCCCTTCTCACCTCATTAATTTTGACTAAAATTTTCCATGTGCAACAGGCAAGTGTCAGCTTCATTATTTTAGAAAATAAATACTCCTGGGCTAAATTTGACAGGAATATTCACAGAGCTGCTATCAGTTACCTAGGTACCTGTTTCAGTTTAAAGCTTAGCAGCTCCTCCACTTTGTTAAAGCCCAAACAATTGTATTTAACAATTACTTAATGCCAGTTCACTTTCAATAGAGGCCTAATGTACCTCAGACAAGCCAGTCCCCCACCTCCTTGATAAGCAGGGTTCCATTATGTTATGTATCTGATGTTAACCTCTTATTGCTCCAGGGTTTTAAACCAAGCTCGAGCCCCAGTCTAAACCGATCGGAGACTCAAGAGCTCCTCTCTTGCGGTCTCTGCTTGGTCTTCATACTGTGGCTGTCAAACACATAATCAGAGTAAAAAGTCATCTGGAATGAAGGCTTACTCTTTGACACCGAGTTTCTATTACTGGAGGTGGAGAGGAATGTTTAGGAAGGTTTTTGCAGTCGCCAATTTCTTCTAGCCCAGAGAATATTGAGCACAGGGCTGCCTGTACTCTCCATTCTATTACAAAAACCTAATCCCATCGCATGACCTGCAGCAATTCAGTTTAACAAATCAACAATTACAAATATTTTGGCAAAGTAAGCTTAGGTATTGTTTGCCTCTCGGCACAGTTCACAATCAGTTTATGGCTTTATGATAAAAGTCATTAAATCCAATCTGAAAAGCAGAATTTACAGCTCACTTAGCAAGTCAGGCCCATAAATGGATGCTTTCAATTACAGGGCATTTACATGCACAACCATTAAGGCAGCATTGAATACATTTGAAAACTCTGGAATACGTTTTATAATAATTAAAACTTTGCGTACTGTTCTTCATACAAACAAAACTTAGGAATTTGCTTCAGTCTCAAGCAGAGCTCAGTTTCATTGTTACCCAGAATATACTACAAAGCCTGTTCTCCAAGTACTTTTGTGGGAAAGGGATTAGAAAGATGGAAACAAGGTTTGTTTTTAAAGTTGCCCTCAGTTGCAGGAAGGGTTTTCTGAGCTCAAATAAACTCAATTATATCAACTGGTACTCAAGACTTCTGAAAGATCAAGTGGAACAGGAAGGTGGAGGAGGACCCAGGGTGAGCCTTGCATTTGGAGACGCGCTGTGCAATTCCAGCATATTTGATTTTGTTGGTGAATGTAGCTGCTGGGTAGAAGGAAACAAGAGAACAGTTCAGAATCCAATTCTTTAAACTCATTTTTTCAATTTCCCTGTTTCTTTTACTGTTAAACAGAACCTCAGCAAAACTGATTAATTCTTCTCCAAGGTTCTATGACGCACATCCAGCCCCTGCAATAAAGAAAAACTGGATCTTCAAACACTTACACTCCTTTTGGTGACTGTCGTTGTATCTGACCCACACAAATGCAGAACAACAATCAGCTGCCAGGTTACTCTTTTCAACACCCCAATATGCTGTTCAACATATGCTCAGACTCACCTTTAAGTGGAAACCACCTTAAAGAACCCTCCCCTTCCACTTCTTAAAGGCATTTGTAACTTATGTTATCTTTCATCATGATAGTGCTAAGCAAAGGGGGGAAGGGACTTCACAAACACCTCCTTTACTCACACTCTCATCCCCGAGTTCACCAGAGCTTGTAAACTTTAGAAGTTTGAAAGCTATGCCTCAGAATGAGCACACAAATAGCCCACTCATGCACCAACACCTCCAAGAAGCATGGGAAAATCTAAACAAGCAACCTCACTCTGCTGGCCTCTCACCTCAACCGGAGGGTGTTTCTTTCCCAGCCTGGAGAACAGAGCAACGACTAATCAGTCCCTCATTACAGAGTCCAGCCCCGACAGAAATAATGGAATCAGTTTGAAAGTACAGCTCTCCAGACTAAGACAGAACACTTGAGAAAAGAAAAACCTGCTGTTACCTGTGGTCTCCTAACAAGCTGTTATTATAAACCTCTCGCTACCGATGGAATCTAACTAGTTTATACCTGTGGACTGTGATAGCACGAGCTCCACACACAGTATACACAGGCTGCAGGTTTTTTTGGAGACACTTGCTTTGGTGAACCCAGTAAACAAACTTTTTTCTAATGCTATCCCGCTCGCAAGCATTTGAAAAGAGCACAACACACGTGCTGGGTTTTTCTCAGTCAGAAACTGTGACGGACAACCAAAGAGACACAAGACCAGCCTGCAGCCTGAATCCCAGCTGTTCAACAGCTCTCCACAATCATCGTAAGAGCTCTCCACTCATTCACACACTTTTTTCCGTTCTTTTATTTCCCCAGAGTGACGACTAAAAGACCACGCTGTATTGCACTTCTCTTCCCCTCCACTCTCCACAGAAAGAAAAAAGAACCCCAACAAGCAGGAACTCCACAACTCTGCAGCAACAACACCGACCACTTGCCCTTATCACGACACAGCTTTCCTTTCCCCGTGCACTTATCGAGACAGATGAGGCACTTACCAGGTTGTGTTTGTTTACAAACAACACCCAGGGATGGAGCTGCCACAGGTTCTCTGGGCAACCTGAGTCAGTACCTAGCTACCCTCGCAGGGATGAATTTCTCCCCAGTATCCCACCTACCCCTGCCCTCTGACAACACAGAGGCTGCTGCAGCATTAAAGGCATGAATAAAACCGGTAATCTCAAGTCCTGTCTCACGAGGGCTGTGTGTATTTTAAACCCGCGGCTCTGCAGACAAGGATAGGGGACAGACAAGAGGGTGAGGCAAAGCCTCGCAATGCCAAACACAAACTTCGAGCTCCAAACACAACTCCTCACCCCACACCGCTCCTAACTTTCTCCTCCAAAACTCCACGGAGTTTCGCACACCTAACCCTGACTGCACGTCCACGAGACACATGGGGGTGTCCTGGGCAGCGCTAAGAGCTGGACGCGATGATCCTCGCGGGTCCCTTCCAGCTCGGCATATTCTGCGGACTCCTGCAAGGAAAACACACCGGGCACGGAGGGAGAGAGCGAGGGAGAGAAGGAGCAGCACAACTTCTTTATTCCCCCTCCCCTCACCCACACATACACACGGGCGGCACAGCCCGGCCCTCCCACCACAGCCCGGGGGTAATGCCGGCGGGAGCAGGATAACCCAGCCCGGGTCCCACCACAACAAAAAGGGCGAAGGCGTAGGGAG